TTCATAAAGTAGTCTCTAGGCCCTTTGTAAACTAAAAAGATTTTGTTTCAAAGCAGGACAGTTCAGTGAAGTTGGGGAAACTTATGAAGCAGGGATGGGAATGTTCCCTTAATAAGCCTCGTGGGACAGTCTCCCCATGGGGCCCTTTGCCTGCAGGATTTCCCACTCAGGACAAGCCTAGGAGGAGGTGTGATTATCTCAAATATACCCAGATGAGGCAATGGAGGCTGTCAGATGATAATGGCTTTGCAAGGTTCGTGTGAACTTGCATTTGGGAGTCTTCAGTGTCAAAGTGAACCTCTCGCTCCCACAAACTGCCCTCAAGGTTGGTAGTGTTAAGACAGACCACGCTTCTGATCCTTTGCCAACATTAAGATTATCGCTTTTTTTTTTTTTAAGTATCAGTGTAAATTGAATGTTCAAAAATGAATCTGTAAGAATTACAGCTGTTCTCTGTCTGGCAGATCCTCAGAATAGTGGAAGAGCTTTCATAAAAGAGCTGTTGTGGCCCTGGCAAGTCACATTACCTCTCAGCCATGGCTTTGCCATTAGCGTGATTAAGATAATAACACCCCCTCACTGGGTCTCTTAATTAAATGAAAAGATAAATATGAAAGTCCTTGGCACCTTGTCAGTGCCTCGTCACTGCTATTTCCTGCAATAAGTGTTATTGAATAAATGACAATTTAGCAATGATACATCTATTGAACATGCCCTTTGTGTTTGGTGCTGAAATGACTCTACATTTCATCCCTCCAAAATTCTGGGTGGTAGACGTAAACTTTACAGAAGAGGAAACTGAGGCTCGGGGAGGGGAAGTGATTTGCCCAAAGTTACACAGTAAGTGGTAAAGCTAGGATTTACACTCAGGAAGGCCAAATTTAAAATTCTTGCTTTTAACCACCATGCTATCCTACACTCCAGGAAAGGATGATGAATAGATATTTCATGTGGCAAAGGCTGAACTTGATGACTTGCCTTTTGCTCTCTTAATCCCCACCCCCAACTCCTTGGAAAATGGAAGCTGTTTGTGCGAGCTTGTCACTGCTCACCCTCAAGGACACTGTACTTAGAAAGCTTCATCGATTTCTATTACTATACGGTTGCAATTTTGCCTGCTCCTTATAAACCCTTGAAAACAAGCCTCACGAGGTCACCAAAGCAACTGGCAATTGAGATGTTCCTAATACCCTGTTGTGCCTGATTTCTCCCCAGCAGCCAGAGAGGGCCCTGCCCTTCCAGCCGGGGGTGGGTGAGAGATAAAAACTGCAATAGGACTGTGTCTCCACTGGCCTTTCCCTTCCTGATGCATTGGCTTGTTTATTCGCACTCCTTCTATAAAAGATTTGAGGTGGAACTTCTCATCACAGATAACCACCAAAATGTCTAGATGCAAGAGAGATGCCTGCAGCCACCTACAGAATAAAGGGAATGAATACCAAGGGTGTCTTGGGTTTCTCCAGGGAAGGAGCTTCCTGAGATGGTGACCAGAGGAGATAATGTGGGGGACTCTCACTGCAGGAGGGGGAGGCCCCCCAGATTGGTGCTGCAGGGCCCACACCAAGGCCCTCGTCACAAAACTATGTTTCAATTTTTTAAAAATTTAGTTTTTCCATTTTTAATTTACACGTATAAAGGGAGAGTCTTCATTGAGAGTTTCTTATGAAGAAAAATAACAATATATAAAAATAAATGTAATAAGAAGAAACAGTTCAGGAAGAGATGAGAAAGGGGAAAACTGGCCTCCTCCTTCGTGTCACTTCTTGTTATTGGGAAGTAGGTTCCTCCACCGTCAGTGTTAGACCAACTGCCTTGCCAAGGACCAAGAGAACCAGGCGTGCCATGCGCTGCTGCTGGTGGGATGGCTGGTTCTGCTGGACGGCAGTGAGGGTCAGAAGGCCAGTGGCAGAGAAGCTGCAAACCGGCCACAGGTTCCACTTGCAGCTCAAGAAGAGTTGCCGCAGCGGCAGGCAAGGTTAGGTGTCTGGGGCTCCCCACATCCACCTGGCAAATACTTCCTGTGCTCTGATCTAGGTGTGGAGATTTTAAACACAAACGTCACATTTTTGTAGCTCAGTAGTACTTTATGGTGTATGTATACCACATTTTATTAACCCACTCATGAATTGATAGGCGCTTGTGTTAATTCCACATCTTTGCAGTTGTGAATTGTGTTTCTATAAACATTCAAGTGCAAGTGTCTTTTACAAACATCACATGTACTCACTGTTAAATTTTAACTAACCAATAAGCACTCATGTACACAGGTGGAAGTAAAACTCAATGGAAGTCATGAAGGTGGGAGCAGGGAGGAGGGGATGGGTGGAATCATACCTAACGGGTACAATGTACACTATTTGGGTGATGGGGACACCTATAACTTTAACTCAAGTAGTACAAAAAGCAATCCATGTAACCAAAACATTTGTACCCCCATAATATTCTGAAATAATAATAAAAAAACCCACACAAACATCACAATCCCTGCTTTTAAGGAGTTCACAGTTACTAGGGTATGCAGGTGCACAAATGGATGATCTCAACAAGATACTATATAGGATTCACTCACAGTCTCTACCACTATCTAGTGTTCATTACCCTGTGCCCGGCACTGTGCAGCACAATGCGGACTCAGAGTGCCTTGAAGCTTGGCATCGAATGCAGCAGTCAAATGTTGTGGATAGTGTGGGAGCACAAAGGAGGACATCTAACTAGACTGGAGAAATCCTGGAAGACTGCATGGAGGAGGTAGCAAGAGGGAAGGTGATAGAAAGGGAACTCCGTGTAGAAGAAACAGCATGATCAAATGCACAGTGGCATCAAATGTTTTGTGCCTAGGATGCTACACAGCTGGCCATGTGTAGATGGCTTTGTACAGCATTGTGACTTTCAGAAACACCTAACAAAACCCCCTCCTTTGTCCCAGTGGTTTGTCCTCAGGATTGAGAGTGGGGCCTCTGGAACATGGGCTGCAGCAGCTCCGTGATCTCATCCTCCGGGAGGTGCTGGGCCAGTCTGCACAGGTCCTGCATGCTATGAGGAAAAACACGTAATTGTGTGTATTCTCCTTCACGCACCGTCACTCTCACCCAAATATCCTCCATTGTAAGTTTCCTGGGTTTGGACCTCCCAACCGTTATGTGCAGCCTCTGCTCATGCCGTGCTCAGAGAAAACCCCGGACGTAGCAGCTGGTGACTGCGGGGCTCGGCGCTAACTCAGAGCGCACAGGTGTGTGGAGCACGGCAGGGTTGTGGTGCAGGGGCCAGAGCCCCCTTCCTCGCTGGGGAAGCGCACGATCAGGGCCGCCGCTGCATGCCATGCGCGCGTGGTCACACTCCAGCCGTACTCCAGCACTGTGAGGTCACTGCGATGGTCCCCATTTCCTGACGAGGTGCCCGAGGCTTGGAGACCTTCAGTGGCCTGCCCAAGAACGTCCCGGCCTCGCGGGGTCAGGCCAGGCTCTTTGCCGCGTCTGCTTCAAACGCGCTTCCCGGAGGCTCCGCGCAGCGCATGCGTCCTTGGCGCTCAGGCCTCCGAGGTGAACGCTGGCTCTGAAGGCCTCTCCATCACCAGCCCCGCCCTTCGTAGCACTCTCACGCCTCTCTGAGGGGGCTTATTCATCATCCGCCTCCCCCGCGGCTCCTGGCGCCTTCCCTGCAGTATCCGTGGGACTCCCGGCAGAGCCCGGCGCGTGGAAACAAACCCTCAGCAAATGGTTGCTCAGCGAACGAGCTGTCCGGCTGCCCTAAGCCCAGCCTTCTCCACGGTACTGGCACCACCACGGTGGCGAGGAGCCTTCTGGTGGCTGCAGCCTGACACGAAGTCCCAGACATGAGGTCCTTCTGGGCGTCTCACGGGCAAGAGAAGGTGATTCCACAGCTTTTCATTTCTACTTCGGCAGAAGGACAGCATCTAATAACGTGCTATGTGACAAACATATGAGATTTGTGGATGAATAGTTTCCATAACCCACATTGGTGACTCAGATTCATGCTTCTTCAAGCAAGTCTGGCCGAGGACGGCTGCACAGCCCTCTCAGACGCGTGTCCTTGCAGGGCACGGTGCCCGCTGTGGCCGGTGAGTGTGAGCTATCAGTCACCGGAACCTTGCCTGGCATGGGCCCTGCCTCCCAGTCACTGCTGCCGTTGCACCCATCAGTTCCCGTGTACGCTCACTCACACGGGTTATGTTTGGTGATTGCTCTGTCCTCATGTGGTGCCGTTTCAATTGTGGTTTCGTTCCTCCCCAATGCTTTATCATCTCCAAGTTGTTTTTCCACTGAGAAGCACTGACATGACCATCAGCCCTATGTCAGTGGGCCACAGTTCTGAGTGTTTGAGAATCCCTGCACCCCTCGTGGTGACCTCATGTAATCCTCGAGCAATCGTGCTCTCTTTTGTTTTGTGGCAAGACAGTTCCTAAAAATAACCATATGAGGCAAAATGGAGACATGGGCGAAACGCACAACACTCAAAAACATCATCTGTGGTGCACCAAAAGGGGAGAAAGAGAAAACAGGAGCACGGTATTACACAATACTACAATAAATGTGGCGCTTTGCCTTGAAGAGGCCTGCGCTTTGCGTGTGGAAGTGGATATCAGACGGGTGGCAGCAGGCACGTTACTGTGAAGCAGTGGAAGGCTGTCTCTGAAAGGGATGGGAAGTTGTAGCTGCACACGTGATGGTCGTGGCTCATGACACAAGGTGAACTGAGTGGCCGGCAGGTGTTTGAGGTGTGTGTTTGTGTGTGTGTGTGCATCTTTTTTATGTTCCTATAGGGCTCAGTTTGGCTGGGTGCAGTTTTCTGTATTTGCCTAGCATCTCTCAGGGAGGAAATCTTGGATAAACTAATGTAAACTTCCCATTATTCTCAAACTGTTCCCTAATATATTTGTTGGGACAAATAATCTGTTGGACCAAATCCATATTTTCAAAACACATGTCCTAGCAGAACTGACTGAGCCTGCTTTACTTTTAATCCTGTGCTTGTTTATTCAGACTGGGCCAAAAGGATCGAGTACCAGCCCGGCTCAGGGAGCATGCCCTTGTTCCCCAGCATCCACCTGGAGACGTGTGACGGGGCCGTGTCCTCCCTCCAGATCACCGCGGAGCTGCAGACCAACTACATCGGGAAGGGCTGCGACCGCGAGACCTACTCTGAGAAATCCCTTCAGAAGTTATGCGGTAGGTTTTCCCCTGTTGGAATTTCTTAAATTGATTGCTTTGAAATGATATATACAAGTAAAGCACACCTTCTTATACTAGGAAAGAATCAGCCCTCCCCACCTGCATCGGTGTATGTAACTCCTGGACAGATTTTAAGTTTACTCAAGGAGAAAATGTTGGAAGGTTCAGCTTTTGGCATTAGACACCCCTGGTTCAGACTCCACTGCCCAGTTGAATGGCTTTGGGCAAGTGATGCCGCAATACCTCTGTTCTTCATTGGTACAATAGGGATGAAATGGCGCAATGAGTTTAAGAGCACCTGGGACAGAGCCCTGCGGGCTAATACAGAGCCACCTGACCAGGGCCAACAGGAAGAGCTGTAGCAGTGACTTGGGAAGAGGCTGGTCTCCTCCCCACAGGGCCAGCTACATAATTTTTAGGGCCCAGGGCAAATAAAAATGTGGGACCCTTTTTCAAAATGTGGGGTGCTTGTTCAAAAATTATCAAGAGTTTTAATAAGACAACAGTGAAGCATTAAACCAAGTACCCACAGCTAAGCACGGGTCCCTGGCCACTGCTCAGGGCCTGGCTGCCCACAGCAGAGAAGAGGCTGGGTGGGGGTAGAGGTGGGCAAACGAAGATGTTTATGTGTGAGGGAGAGAGGGCTGCCGTCAGTGGGCTGTGGGATGGTGTAGGATGGTGCAGGACAGGAGGCAGGCCAGGCGTTGGGGAGCAAGGCTGACGGGGGGGGGTGCTATGAAAGGTGGGTAGGGAGAGGACTGGGCTTTACTGAAACCCGCTGCGTGGCCCCTTCCAGACTCCACATGAATTACTTTATTCACTTCTCCCATCTTCGCTGTGAGGAAGGTGTTATTCATCCAGTTTCAGAGATGGAAATTTGAAGCCCAGGCAGTGAGAATGACCTGTTCAAGGTCACCCAGATAGACAATGACACAGTGGGGACTGAAGGTAGGTCTGTCTGGGTGATAGGCTCTTTTGCTCAGCATCCACAGGGGCTAGCCAGGATGAGCATCTAGCACAGTGGGGACAGTCCTGTGTGCTTGGTGAACCGGACTGCCGGTGTGTTGATGGGGCTCCTTCAGCCCCACCCCGCGTGTAATTCATTTCTTTCCTGTTCTTGCCAAGAACGTTCAGGAACTCACATTTAACTCTCCAGCCAAGTTGCAGGGAGCTTGGGAAAGGGAGGTGCCCGGATGTATAGTCTAGTTTGCCGTACCCCAGGGGTCCCTCCACTTTTATCTTTGGGGCAGTTCTCCTCCCTCAACATTCACACACATGGACACAAACACATATACACACACAGACACACACACACCCCTCCACACACACTGCTCTTGCCCAAAGAAGTGAAAATTTGGGGAACTGAAAGTGAAATAAACCCTGTTTGGGTACCACCGTGTCCCTTTTATCCCATCACCTGGCTGACAGGGAAGGCCTATGAGAACACAGACCTCTCCAAAATGATGCAATAGAATGGGGAAAGCACCACGACTTCAATATTTCAAACAGCTCTTGCAAAAATGCATATAAGGGACTTGCAATATTCAGAAAACTGCTTCCAGTCCTCTCTTCCACAGTGCATGCAGAGAAGCCATCTAAGATGACATCTTACTTTGAATGAATATCCCATTTTGCTCCCCCTCACCTGAATTATAAGTCAACTCGACCCCACGCCTCTGTGGGTTAGAGTCATTTCCTAAATTCCTCTAGGTTAGAAGGAGATGATGGAATCAGCTTGCTAAAGATCAGATGGGCCCAAGGGCACACGCTTGTGATTTGATTTTGAATGTTGCAGGGGAGGAGAGGGGAGCTGTGGAGTGTGAGAAGGATTTTCCGAGGGAAGAGACTTTAGAGTAAAATTGCATCTTGTGTGTTAACAGAGTTCATTCCATCTGGGCTGCCAACCTCGCCTTGCAGAAGGGCAGGTTAACTCAGCCAGGAAGGCAGTTCCCCCTCACCATGCGGCCTTATCTGGCACTGGGAGCCACCTTTTGAAGAGAAGTCTGTGTTCCTCTCTGGTGGCCTTCCCCATAGCACTGCCCACCACACTCCTGGGAACCCTGTCCCAGTAACCCTGAGGGGCAGGGGCAGTCCTGCCTCCACATTAGATGTCTGACTCTTGAACTGCACTGGGGTGGGGGTGGGGGAAACTTAAGAGAAAAGAGAAAAAGCAACCGAAGGAGTGAGACCCAAATGCGAATCTGGGGCTGGGCTCCGCTTCCACATGTGGGCTCCAGGCCCTCTCCAAAGTCCAAGGGAAATGCAGGAGAGATGGCTTCTAGAACAGAGGCTGGGCTGTGATGCCTGACTTCCGTTGGGCACCTTTGGTTCTGGAAACAAGTCTCTGTGTGTTTTCGGTGGATGCTGGAAAAGCTGCTTGCCAGGCTTCCCCACGAGGGAGCTGCCAAGACACCTTAGGGCTCAGTGTTCATGCATTTTTCATCCTACAAATCTTTATTGACTTTGGATGGAAGCAGGGAGACCAATTAGGACATTATTGCCATACTCTAAGCTAGAGATAATGAGTTCCGAACCAGAGGAGTGGCAGTAGGGATGAATTTAAGACAGATTTAGGAGGCAAAATCATCAAGATTCAATGATTGATTAGCTGTCAGGCATGAGAAAGGAGTCTGAGAAGGTTCTAGTGTGAACATCTAACCGGATGAGGGTGCCACCAACCAGAACTAGGAATCCAGGGGCAAGAGTAGATTTAGGGGACAGTGATGACAGTTGCCTGGAAAACATCCAGGTGTGAGTGCCAAATTCTAACCTCATTCTCAACCCTCTGGAGGATCTGCCTCCACCCTGCAGCCCATTTTGTCCTGATGCTCTGCCTCTGCTTGGTCCGGGCTCCCCCTTGGTCCCTCTGCCTGGATCTTTCTCATCCCTAGGCCCTCACTCAGGATGCTCTGTCTCCCCTGCCCTGTGCCCACGCCTTCCCCTCAGTCAGTATTCACCTGCCCTCCATGTACACCAGGAGTCAGGGTGCACCTCTATGGGGGTTTGAGTTCTGGAGTTTCCTCTGTGATTCTGAAGCTGTGCAGTGACCTAGCCGGGGATGTGTTCCCGGGAGATCATTGTGGAAATCTCATCATTGCCCACCTGCTTCCTCCTCATGCAGTGTAGGCTCCATGAGGAGCAGTGAGAGAATCCGTTTAAGGGGAAGTCAGACAATAGCTGGTGTCAAGCCTGCTGTCAGGAAGTACCTGCGCAGATGCAGCAGCACTTGAAATGGCCTCTTTGGGCCTAGCAGAGTGCTGGATGCCGGGCATATTGCTGACTGAAATGTGTACCTGGAGACGCTTCCCTGAACAAAAACAATGGAGACCCCTGAATCTGTGCTCCCTTCATCTTGTAGGGCCAGGTGTAGCCTAAGATCCGCCCCCCTCCACTGCCTTGCTTTTCATGAGGCCAGGCTTCTTGGAGAAACTGGGCCAGCTGCTTTTCATTTCCTATGAATTCAGAGATTTAGATGAAGGGCTCTGAGTCCCAGTACCAGACTTTTCAGAGCTGAGCATCACAGAACTGCCTGAGTATGAAACGCACCATGAAGCCTTCAGTGAGACTTCTTGGCCAAAGTAAATTTGACATAAACAACAGTCCAAGGAAAGGCTGCTTTGATGACCCTGCATCACTACATGTTATGGAAAATAGAAAAGTCTGTGATGCATGTGCCCTTCGTAACAGGGAAGCCAGGGCTGCTCCTTGTCGGGATCGCAGTGCTCCTGGCAGCTGGCTGGAACCTCCTGCACAGGACACCCGGGCCAGCTGTTTTGTATGTGAAGTAAAGAATTCTGAGGACCTGTCCTGTTGAAGGAAAGGCCACAGAGTGAGAGCATGCTATAAAAATCCAGTGGTTCATCTGCTAGAGCAGTGCAATGACCAGACCTTAAGTTGTTCTTAGGATTTATATACTTGTGAATCTAGTAGATTTTCATAGAGGACTTTTGATTTATTTATTCATGCATGCATGCATGTATTTGTTAATTAAAAAAAATATTTAATGAGTGTCCAAATGCTTTCCTAACTCTTGAAATAACATAGCACTTAATAAGATCACTTAGGGCCAGGTATGGTGCCTCACGCCTATAATCCTAGCATTCTGAGAGGCTGAGGCAGGAGGATCGCTTGAGCTCAGGAGTTTGAGACCAGCCTGAACAAGAATGAGACCCCATAGCTATTAAAAAAATAGAAAAATTAGCCAGGTGTCATGGTGCATGCCTATAGTCCCAGCTACTCAGGAGGCTGAGGCAGGAAGATCACTTGAGCTCAGGAGTTTGAGGTTGCAGTGAGCTATGATGATGCCACTGCACTCTAGGGCAACAGAGCAAGACTCTGTCAAAAATAAAATAAGATGGACACATAGGTACTACAGTAATAGGGTATTGGGCAGGAGGGAGGGGGGAGGGGGGTGGGTATATACATACATAATGAGTGAGATGTGCACCATCTGGGGGATGGTCATGATGCAGACTCAGACTTTTGGGGGGAGGGGGGGAAATGGGCATTTATTGAAACCTTAAAATCTGTACCCCCATAATATGCCAAAATAAAAAAAAAATTAAAAAAAAAATAATAAAATAAGATAAAATAAACTAAAATATGACCATTTAGTTCTTGTGTTCTATTGCACATAGAGCGACTATAATTAATAATAATATATTGTGTATTTGAAGATAGCTGGAAGAGAGAATTTTGAAATCTCCTCACCCCAAAGAAATGATGTTTGAGGTGACAGATTTGCTAATTACCTTGATTTGCTTATTATATATTGTATGCATGTATCTAAACATCATGTTGTATCCCATAAATATGTACAATTTTGTTATGTGTCAATTAAAATTTTTACAAAAATTTTTAAAATACCAATTCAGTCTCCTGGGGAAGACAAATATGTTAAGTTTGTAAGACATATATGTTAAGTCTTAACATATTTATAAGACAAATATGTTAAGACAAATATGTTAAGTTACAGTGCAATTTTTTAGGGGGCATAA